AACGTCCATAATCTAGGAAATAAAACTATTCCAGCTTCCATTTTAGAATACAACTTTTTTCAATCATCAAAAATCAGTTGAACCTTCCTGGAAAATTTCTCAGTTATTCTGAAGATTGCACTGAAATGTGATGTAACATTATTATTTTTTTTCGTGATGAATGTCTTTGGGTAATTACTGAAGAGAAAGATCAGACTGACATGTAGCTTTTATATCTTCAGATGCTTTTGACAGACTTTGAAGATAATAAATTTACATATTCATATGGAAATTTAGCTATATATTTTCAAGTTTTTTGGGTACCAATTTTTTTTACTGCTCTGATGGGAAATCCACCATACCACTTTGTAAGCCCTTGGACTATTCATCTCAGCTAAATTCAGGATGCAAGAACAGTGTTATCAGGAAGAAGTAGCAATAAAATATAATAACATATAAGCTGAAAAAAAATATTGCAGAATCACTGTGGAGGTTTGACAATGCCTGCCCTGGTAGCTCAGCCTGGGCTGCAGCATCCTGAGATGTTCCTGATAGTCTGACTGGAAGAGCAGAGATGCCTGGCATTAAGCATGTTGGCTCTGCTTAAACCACCCAGTGGTTCAGTGATATCAGACTCAGTCCTGATGCAACACAGATTTTATTCCCTTGTGCTCTGTAGGGAGTTTGATATTATGGTTATTACGGTTATAGTCAGTGGATTAGGAGTCACAGCCCTCTTGTGCATGACCAAGCAACAGTCCCACATCTTTCCCAGAAGGACCAGAAAACTCTCAGCCCAAAACTTGCCGCTGTTTGCTCCCTTGCCATGGGTTGATAAAATCTGTCTTAAAAAAAAAAAAACCAAACTAAAAAATCCTTTAAGATGGGATTTTTGAGGTGAGGAGGAGTGTGAGGAGTCATTCTGGGTTTCTGTAAGACAGAAATAAATCCAGTAGTGCAGAATTCCAGTAGGAAGGATATTTTGTGCAGGATTTAGAGAACATTCCCGCCTTCAGCATTTCCGGTGAACAGCACAATGAAAAAACCACATTTTAAAAGAGGCCTGTGAGTGTGGAAGGTGAGCCTTTCCGGAAGCTGGTCATTAACACGCCACTGTCTAATGAGCACTGATGTCAGAGCTGCAAACACCGCAGGGCCCAGCCGAGGAAACGACTGCCTGAAGATTAATGGTGACAGTGATGGATGTCACTTGTAAACAGCACTAATCAGAGATGCCGGCCGGGAACCGCGGGCCAGGCAGGAAATGAATACAGCTGAGAACTTTGCAGACTCACTTTCTTATTCTGACCTTTCAAAAGACCAAATAAATTAATTCAGTTTAGCACGGATGTAAACACGTTCCCCGGCAGAAGTTCTGATGAAGCTACAAAGACTCCCAAACCTGCGCCGCTCTTCAGTTTTCATCACGGATGGCTTAAAAAATCCTTCAGCAATGCCTGGCTAGCAGACCCGAATAGCAAAGTGTTATGTTCCTGTTGTCAGTGCTTCATATCTGAAACAACGCAATTTTGTTTCCTTCCTTTTAAACAGCAGCAACAAGGGAGAAAAACACATTTTTCAACGTGAGCCGTGTGCAGGCGTCACAATGATTCTCCTTATCTAACTGAAGAACCCCACACAACCCCCACCCCTGGGACACATCTTTTAAGGGCACCACTAAACAAATTCCCTGAATTAGCAGACAGCAAGATCCTCTAGTTAGTTGACATTTCCAATAGAACTCCTTTCCTTCTGGACTTGCTTCATGGGGAAGAGATAAAAAAAACAACCATTGGTTGGATCACATCATTATTAAATTTTACGTCCAATTTTTGTTTCCAATAAGGAATAAACAACATAAATATTGAGGAGTGATAAATTGGTCAGAAGTGACTGAAGAGCAGAATTATTAATTAAAACCAAGTTAGTTCAAAACACATAATTTTAGTTTTCAAGTCTTCAAATGTCTTTGCATGAAAAAGAAATATGGGAATTCATGTTTTCAGCCCATGCTCTTCACTGAAGTTTCTTTCCATGCTTATTTCTTCCTGTAAGAAAAAGCAGTAAAAACACTATTGGTTTGGATATTTTGTTTTTCTTCTCACAAATTTTGCTTCCCTTCAGCAGAAACATAACCAAACAAAAGCCATACTGGTAAGATTAGATTTGAATAAGAACAGTGCTGGAGCTCGGCTGTGGAGGAGCCTGGGCAGAGCCAGAACATGAGAATGGAAATGGAGGAGGCAAAGTTTGCATTTACCTGGGAAGTAAGGAAAACAGCTTTGGAGAGAGATGCTCTGGGACTACTGACAAAGGAGGATTTCCCATTGTGCTCCAGCTCTTTGTGCTGAGCTGAACTGCTCAGCTGGGGCTGCACTTCTATTCAGCTGGACTGAAAGCCTGAATCTCTCAGAGACTCTCTGTAAAAAGGAAACATTACATTCTAAGTGTACAATACAATGGCCTTGTTGTTACCACTGTCAGTCAATATTTCTTTCACAGTAGGCAGCTACTGTGTCTATACAAATCAAGCATGACCTGATCATCAGCTGTGACAAGACCTTATCAAACACCAACAGAAGTTAGCACAGACACTTTTCAGCCAAAGAACAGGAAGGCCCAAAGGATCAGGACATGACCTCATCATCCTGCACTTTATGCTCTATTCAATTTTACTTTTGTGTCACATGAAGATTGCTATGAAAATACATTTAGTATTCATCCAGCCATTGAAAAAAACATTTCTGCAAGTAACAGAACATTAACTCAATATTGTTCTCCTATTTTAGAATCTTGATTTGAGGGCTTAAAAATCAGAGCCTCCTTCCCAACAGATTTGTGAATATATTTCAGTGGTTAGAGAAACGACTGGGAAACAGGACATTTAGTTCTCATCACAATTTTTTTTAGAGCTTTCTAGATCTCTAGTTATGTCATCAACATAATATTGTAGGTCTGCTTTATCTGGTTTTAAAATAACTTATTCGTTTTCCTGTGTCGTCATCCTGCAGCACCCAAAATGGCCCAGAAGCATTTACAGAGTCATTAATACTGTTACTATAACTACTGTAGCTTACAATTCAAAACAGGGATGCTCATTAGCACCAGCAGCAGTGCTGACAAAACACAGACTGACTTGGATGTAATTTGGCTACTTCATGGCCTAGATTTAGTATAAGCTTTCTATTGATGGGGAGCGGGAAGTGTGGGTGAGTGGGGGAAAATTGTTTGTGATTATTCCCCCCCTCTCCACACTCCAGATTTCTAAGTGAATTCTCAGGAGGTGCACAGCACACTGCTGCAGTCAGGACTGACACAATTGCTTGCACTGTAGTACAGGAATAATTCAATCATCTAAGGCATAAACCCCGTGCAGGGTCATTGAAGAGTGAGTTGGACAGGCCCTTCAGACCATGGCTGGTGGGTGCTGAAAGAGGGGACACAGCTGCTCATCCCCATCTAGAAGCTGCCTGGCACACTGGCCCCTCATAATTCACTTCTGAATTATATTCCATCTCCAAATCTTCCTTAAATCAGCTTAGGTAGGATGTGGAGGCTACAATTACAAATATTTTCCAGGAGCTGAAATCAGCAGGTAAAAAAATTATGTCAGATGGGCACGGACAATATTTTATACATGTAACAGGTAAAAAAAGCTCATGCGACCACCCCTATTGCAGAAAAGTGAAATAAAATAATGCACTCTACCTTTATTTACTTATCTGTTAAAGGCAGAATAAATTATGAAACACAGTTGCAGTTAAAGCCAGTTTAAAATATGCATGATATAAGCCTTCTCTGAAATTGAAAATTAGGTTTAAACTGTAACCCTGCTTCCTAAAGTCCCTTGGGTTACAAAAGGCAGTTGTGCACTGTTCCCCATTCAGTCTGATTTTAAAATTTGTATCACACATGTGGCACAAGAGAGTTTTTCAGTTAACTCTTAAAAAAAAAATCATGATAGATTACATCTTATTCTTCTTTTAATGTTTCACAAATTTGGATTCCTAGCGGAGTTGGGATTTTTTCATTTCTTTTGAATATTAGTGTCTTCCATTCCCATTCTCCTTAGCTCCACACGAAAAAGGCCACAGTGGGGCTCTCACCAAAAGTACCCATGGAAGTAAAACACAACAAAATTACGGGGGGTAATGAGGTCATGTCTTCTCCTCGAAGCTCAGTGTCCTACCTGAGAAATTAAAATGAGACACTGCCATTAAAAACATGAGAACTATTAAAGTCTTAATCAATTAACTGCAGTAATTTTAACCCTTTCCAGTTCTTCATTCAGCTAACACTGAAGATGTTTCTTTATTAGATGTATTTTTCTTATGACACCTCCAAGAGAAACTGAATTTAAACCCAAGAAAATTAACTGACATCAGACTTGTATGTGAAGAGATAACTCGTGCTGATGAACCTCAAAGATTAATCTATTTTTACTTTATGCAAACTGAAATGAGAAGTTTTGGGTTATTTAGTAACACAAAAAAAAATTAAAAATGCAGATTTTTTTTTTTCTGGGCTAAAGATTTTCTATCCTAGGTGGGAGATTGCAAGTAAACACAAATCCACAGACAGAGAAGTGAAAGAGGGAGCATTTAGTGGATGAACTAGAAATTAGAAGTGGGTGGTTCTAATTTCTGAAGAATGGTGCAAAAATTAAAATATCTGCTTGCAAAATGATTGATCAGCCAAAGCTTGGAGGACACACTGAGAAACTCTGAGTTTGAAGTCAGGGTGCTGTGGATGGAGCTGTGTGCAGCACATGGCACTGACGCTGCAGATGGGGTGCTTCTGGGGGCTGAAGAGAAGGCTGGATGTTATTTCATGTGACATTACTGTCATTAAGGTTAATTTTAGGAGCCTAGGGCATGTACAGGTGTTTGGGGCCACGGGCTGGTGTCGCCCTACCCCGAAGAGGAGCTGAGCTGCGCGGAGCAGCTGCTGCTCTGGGCTGCGGTTTGTAGCGCGAGCCCTGCAGAGCTGCAGTGTCACTTCCCCAAGGGACGAGGGCACAACCAGAGCTGCCCTCGGAGCCCGGCGTGGGCACAGCTGCAGTGGCCAGTACAGAGACACCTCCTGCCACCAGCTCCTCTGGACACAGGGCTGGGCTGGCCAGGGCAGTCCAGGCTGCTGCAGCATGTGAGAGCCCGAGCCAGCACGCAGTGGGGGCGAGGGAGCAAAGGGAACCTAGCCGGAAGCTTCTCTAGAGGAAGATGGAGAACCCACTTCTTTTATTCCCCCAACTCAACATTTCTGCTTCAAAGGATAAACCCTATTACAAAGTCATGAAACCGGCGATTAAGGAAGAGCCAAACAAGGCAAGCAAGCCTGGGTAAGTGTTCAGGTCATGCCAACCTTCTGCGTGTTCTATTTACATGGAGGATTCTTGTAGCATAGTTTGTGGGGGTGAATTTAGGGCACAGCTAATTTCATTTTTGACATATATGTGAGAACTCATGAGCTGCAATCCTAGAAATTGTATGTGTAAAATATTAACTCTTTAAGAAGAGTTATCTCAAAGAACTCTTGTTTTATTTTTGAGGACAAGAAACATACCAAATTAATGATCTAAAAATACTAAGAAAGAGAGATTGCAAGAAGTTCTGAGAAATGCTTCTCTAAAGCCTGAATATGATCCGGGAAAGCTTTTTTCAAAAATTTCAAATGACAGGAAGCAATACTTCCTTTTTTCTTTGTGAAACATTAAAAGTAGAAGATGCTGAGCCAACTGTTTACATTGTCTAATGCGAAGTTTGGCCCCTCATCTTTAAAATAAATTAAAAGGATGCTGAAAATTAAAGGATTTCCATTTTTCTTTGCCAGTGCAAAATATGTGCTAAGCTATAAAGAAAAACCATTAATGGGAATAATATACGTAGGAGAAGTAACACCAACATTACTGTAAGTGAAAATAGGGAGCTCTATAATGCAGAAGCAGAGAATGCTTGAGAGGGAAAAACCAGCTTTCTACAATGTTTCTTGAAAAGCTACTCCAATTCTGTCGTAGAGCTAAGCAGAAGAGAAATAGGCTGAGCCTGCTCCTGCAGAAACCTGAATTCCATGAAAGTGATCACCTTGGCAAACCTGGAAACTTGACAAAAGCAGCAAGGTAAACATTGTAAAAGACTGGGTTGGTTGGTGATTCCCTCCAAGAAGCACCTGTGTGACTTGGGATGTTTCCTGTACCCATGTGTGTGCATTCAGACTGGGCAGAGTAACACTGAAAATTTCTCAGTGTAACCCAAGCATGCAAACACTACAGAATTACCTGGTATGAATCGAGGTAATCAGCAGTGTTTTCACACCACTTGGTCCCCATACATTTGCAGAGAGGTTTAAACCTTGTGCCAGCAGCCTTGGTACGAGTCCACTGACTGTACAGAGCAACAATCCACTCAGAAATGCAGCTGGCAGGAAAATCACACAGCTCCTGGCAAAGCAGGTTTTCCAAATACTTCTGCACAAATGCCATAGCTGTGTTAAACAGTGAATGCAGAGTTCCTCAGTAACTGCAGTAATTGGTTGAACACTCTTGTCTCCAAAATTTCTACACTTTGGTAGTATTGTCCCTAGTATTTACCATAAAGATGCAGGGTACAGTCTTGGGTTTACTGACTTCCATAAGAGTTTAATTCCTCACTTCAGTGGGGTACCAAGACATTGCTATACTAAGAATTGCATTTGTAGGTCCTGACTGAGAAGAAGAAATATGTAGAATGCTACAACACTGTGGCCGAAAGAATGTATCGGTCCTTTCTTTCCACCACAAATCATTCCAGAACACTTCAGTGCTTACCACAGCCTTTTCTCTTATTCCAGCAGCTCCCACTTTCTTGACCAAGCTGCCTGCTTTGACCAGAGCTGCTTCTACAAGCCATTAATGTGCTAATTAATGAGCGCGTGGTAGAGGTCACCTAAGGACCCAAGCTCTGCTTCCAGGACCCGGGGAAAAGTGGCTGGGGAGGGGGTACCTAAACAATCCCACCGGTGCATGAGTCACCAAGCCGTGTTTATTGCTCACGTTTTGAGATGTCCTGGTTGCAGACGTGTCAAACCTTTCTAAGATTGCACCTGTAAAGAGAAAATAGAGGCAGACAGTGCTGTGTGGCTCACGTACCCCAGGTATTTAATGCAAAGTACAGCCATTCACTGCATTCTTACAATCTGCCAGACGGCACTTTCAGAGCAGTAACAATTCTCTGAAGAATTTCCCCCTTTTAACATCATTTCCTCATTCAGCCAGCTGTCTTTTACCATGTTACTCTCTGCTGGTGCCTGACTAACAGAGATTTGACTGTTCTTGTATGAAAGAGAAACTTGTAGATTTTTGCTGGTCTTATATTTGGATTAAAGTGACAATTATATTTGTCAAAAATGGGAAAAAACCAACCAAACAAATTTACTCTTTTTCAAATAATAAAGTGAGATAACAGTTTGAAATTTATTAAGTGATTTACTTAGCTTTTATAATTTCCATTTTTCACACAGAATTACTAAAATAAATAGAAAGAGATTTAAATAAAACACTGCAGATGGAAATTGAGGTGATAGTAGAAAAGTTAATTTGTTCATTTAAAAGTCTGGTTTTAGTTTAAATGTCTATTCATTTGTTTAAATTAGTTTCTTCTCATATTTAGAAGACAGCAAAGTTGAACAAATCTTGGTTTCTGTTTATTATTGCACAAGCTCACTGCTGCACTCAGGTGTTGGGGGTCTGTGAGGCTCCTGGGTTGTTGCAGATGCTGAAGGAAAACCAGAAACTCACAGTAGGAGTTTCCAAACCCACAAAGATCCTCTCCAGTATTTCATGCCTTTGTGAACAGAGTATGTGGTCTAAAGACATAAGGCTCTATCTTTCACTATGACCAAAATAATTTCTGTAGGGACAGGAACCTGCAGCTGGCAGAGTTCATGGTACTTTCTGTAATTCTCATAACTAATAAACGCTGTAAGGGAGTGAGGTCTCGTTTCCCTGACTCCAGAATTCCCCTGCTTTCCCGAATTTCTCCTCATGAACTCTTTTCTTCTCCCTAGTTAAAATTTTCCTTCCTGCAAGAAATTACTTCAGCTACGAAACATGTGATACCTATTAAAATTTTAAAAACCAAAACAAAACGCCTCCTTTCACGTTTTGTGCAAACCCAGAGTCATTATTGGCTTAAATTCCTTACCAAGGAGATTGGAATTTCCTTTCATCTAAACTACACGTGCCTCCTCCCTGCCAAGGGAGCCCAAACTGTGTAAATCAGGAAACAGAACCGCAAGCCTTGATGAGGAAGTGGGATCATGTTCCAGAAACGTTTGGTCCATAAGTTGATTTGATCAACTAATCCCAGACCAGTCACTTACTGATACTTTCAGTGTCCTGTGATTTGTCCTGGAATGAAAATGGTTCCAAACATGCGCATCCACAAAGCAACTTTGATAAAAATTGCTTCTTTTTTCCCTTTCTTTGCTGTTTCCTAGGGCAGATTTTTCAAAATTGACGTGAAACACGTGCAACTTGACATACTTGATGAAGAACATGAGGAGTTTTATAAATGAGGCACAGTGTCTCAGAATAACATGGCATTTGAAATGTTTGTGGTAAACAAACCAGACTACACGTGCTATTGCCCTGTAAAACTGACACCTAAACCATATCGCTACAGTTTTTTCTTCAGGCTACAGAATTCTGTATATTTCATTAAAAAAGCAGACTGTGGTAACAGCCTCAGAGTGAGCATATTCAAAACTACATCTCTGCATGACGATCTCAAGTTTAAATAGCTGACAAGACCTGCTTCTCTTATGATTTTTACCATGCTACTTGGTCTCAATTGCCTTAAAGATTAGTAGGACAACACAAATACCACAGTGAAAAGCCTCTGCTCTGATGTTTTTATAAAAAGAGAAAAGAAACATAACTCTGCAGGAAAAAATGTCAAGAGTGAGTTAAAAGAAATGTTCCTGATGCCCCTTAGAGAATGATCTCCCTTAGTGAGGTGATCTAATAAAGGCTCTGTGGAACAGTCCTGAGGCACAATGGTGCCAGATAATGTGTGTTACACAGCTTCCTAAATGCACAGTATGAACAATTATTCTAACTCCTTTCTGTTTCTTAAGCAGTGTGTCTCCTGAAGAAGCAGTGAAATGGGGAGAGTCTTTTGACAAACTACTTTCTGAGAAAGGTCAGTAGTTTTTTGTCTCTCCATGCAGGCTGTTAGGATGGAAAATTGATGGTAAAGGATGGAAAATCATAAAATCCAGTTATGCCCTTGAATAGACATGCCAGTTACCTAAACTAGGTATGATGGGTCATTTATGGCAGCATGTGTTTCCTGCTCTTCTTGTCTTCTTCAGCTATAGCTTGCTGTCAACTTGTGAAAATAGTTTAAAATAATTTTTGTGTTTGGTGTTTTATTGAACAAAGTAATAGAGCAGACAGCAAAGAGTCCCTTCAGTAAACAGGAACATTTAACCATAATATTGCTCAAATATTCCTAACTGCATATGCTCCATGTACTTAAGACTTTGTCACTCCTGACAGTTTATTTCTAAGCCAGTGATTAGATCCAAGCTGGCCATCACTGAGAGGCCCTGCTGCTCCCATAATTATCAAATGCACATATGTTCCTGCCTTCATTTTGGAGTGGCACATGTTTCAGCTACAGTGCTGGACACTGTGGGCTTTTTAAATCTGTTCCTTGAACAGTTCACATCCACACAATTGCATTTCTTCCACAGATGAAGCACGCTTGGCAAAGAAAATATCCTCAGCATAACAACAGCAGGATAAAGCCAATAACAGAGATGCTGAAAGCCATCCATTTTAAATTGCTGCTGAAGAGTAGTTTACTTATGAGCAAAGATTCAAATAGATTTTTGATCAAACTAAATTGATATTCAGCTGGACTAAAGTCCACCACTTCCACATACTCCCATATGTTTTGCTTAATGTTTTTTCTAAATTTATGAGATTTTGGTAGCATTTTTTTACTGATGCTGAGAATTCTGTAAGGAGAGTTACAGGATCACAATGGAGAAACTGCAATTATTTACAGCCTTTATGTATTCTAGGATAATTATCTCTAATGTGGTATTATTCCAAGGGAGCAAAACATATTTTACTACATTGCACAGACTCTTTGAAAGAGTAGCTGTCTGATAAGGATAGATTTTTTTAATGCAATTCAACTTTCCCTTTTGTAGCTGGGCTGGATGCCTTCACAAAGTTTCTGAAAACTGAGTTCAGTGAGGAGAACATCGAATTCTGGATAGCCTGTGAGGATTACAAGAAAAGCAAAAGCGCACATGATCTTCTGCCAAAAGCCAAGACCATTTTTGAAACATTCATACAGAAAGATGCTCCAAAAGAGGTAAAGACCTTTCTCATTATACATAGTGTTTGATTGACACAACTGCATCTGGTGAAACTTTCTTTTGAGAAGTGCATGCCCAGAAGCAGCTTCAAGAGCTAATCCTGCAGTCCCCTGATATAAGAAAACTTTCCTAAAAGTCAAAACTCTGGAAGGAGCATGGACATGTCTTGATTGACTCCTTTTCCCTTTTCCACCCCTCCACCTCCAGTTGTATATCCCTGGTGTGTTACTGTCAGCACAAAACGATGTTGATATGACAATCCTCACCAATGCTAAGGCCTTTTCTTAATATCCTAAGAATGAAAAAAGTTTTCATATTTCCAACTTAATTCATTTTACTGAAGTTTATGAAGGGTTCATAAATGAACAAAAGAAATAATTTTTTTGCCTGCCCTAAAAAGGAGATGAACAGGTTGGGAGATCATCAAATTTTAGTGAAATCACAAGCAGCCTCTTGAATAGCTCTTTTTGACTTACATTTTCCTTTAATTCTATCCCATTTGAGTAGATCAATAGCTGTATTTTTTTATTTGCCAGAATAGGAGAAGTTAAGCACTAACTTCTGCTTCCTTGTAATGAGGGTGAAAAAGGTGTAATTTTCATTTTAGTGAAAAGATTGCAAAGCGGTGCGGTTTCCATCTGTAATTCCCATAGATTGCATTAGGATTCAGATCTGCTTTTCCTAGGAAAAGCCTACTTTTAAGGACTTATGTCCCTTTCCATTCCTTTCCCTGCTGTGTGCCTTTGGGGAGAAGCAGCCCTGGACAGGTAACAAGTGCTGACACTGTCAATGCTTGAGACTGATTGAAGCAAAGAGATGAGCAGGAGAAAGCTGAGGAGAGGACAAGGCAGGGAAGTCATAGTAACATAACAATTTCTTTCTCTGCCATTCTTGAGTTTGGTGCAGGCAGGGTGGATGCTGTGGTTCACCTTGGACACTTGGCTTTGGTGTGACTTCCTCCCTTGGGCTCAGCCGAGACCACATAGCTCTGCAGCTTGCACATCTCCTCTGATTCCTTGTCCAGCAGAACTCTTTTACACAATTTCTAAGCCTACAGTTTGATGGGATCATAAAATTTTGGATGAGTGGACCCTTCTCTGATCACTAATTGCCCTTCAGCTCTTAGATCTAGACTATTTGTTCCAACTAGTTGTATGGAAATGACAGGCGCCTCTCAGGGAGGAAAAGAAAAACATTATAGAAATCACTTTTTGATTGGGTCAACAAATTTTAAAATATATTCTACCTTATTTTTCAAAATAACCTGCTTGAACCAGTTCCTGTCGCTTCATTAAAATTCTTATACTATTAAACATTTCCCGGGGTGAATACAGCAGCACATGGAGTAAATAGTAATTTTGATACACTTCCCCAATCTAAGGCCTCCAGACACCTATTTAAATTAAAAAAAAAATTAGACTTTTTTCACCTTCCTACTACAGAAAGTACACGGAAACCAGAAATTTTAACTATTCACTAATGTCATCTTATTAGAACAAGTTCTACTTTAATCCTACATGAGAGCAGGGGAGATCTGTAATAGTCCGGTATTGCAAAGCTGGGAACTTGTGACTATACAGTGTTAACTGTTAGAAAGTTACTTTTAGTCAAATATCAGAGTTTTTCTTCTGTTTCCCCAGTTTCCCATGGTACCAATGATACAATGGGATTTGTGGATACTTTCTGAGAGCCACCACTGAAGGCAAACACACTAATTCTGTGGTGTTAATATCCTGTTGTATGGGGGATTCAAGGTCCTCCTCATGCCTTGAGAGGCTACAAGAACAGAGGCTGGGCAGAATTAAAGGAATAAAATAGAGATTTATTAAAGGCCTTCACAGGATACACCTTGGGCAGTACAAGATCCAGCTGTGGCTACACCCAATATGGATGACAAGTCACAAGTTTTCACACTTTTATGTTTTGGTCCTTTTCCATTTTGGGGTTAATTTTCCAATTCCAGCTCCAGGTGATACAGTCCCATCCTCCCAGTTTGCTCTCCTCCATTCCCTGTTGTTTGCACTTTTTGGGCCTGAAGTTGCAGCAGTGCCCTTGGTTCTGGGGCTGGAAAAGGATAGTTTTGTCTAACTAAGCTGTGGAGAGAACTTGCTAACACTTTATAAGAAGTTCAGAGTTATAAACTAATGCAGTACAGAATCTGAAAATATGAAGGCTCAAACTTAAGGCTTCACTCTTATCAGAAAAGTCTTTTCCTGGTGTACAGTATCAGTGCTGAAGATAATAACACTGGATATGCATGAATGTACATTAAATACCCTTTTCCTCGTCCTCCAGGTGAATCTGGACTTTCACACCAAGGAAGTCACAAGCCAGAGCATGGGGCAGCCCCTGCGCAGCACCTTCGACGCGGCGCAGAGCACGGTGTACCGGCTGATGGAGCAGGACAGCTACCCGCGCTTCCTGCGCTCCGCCGCCTACCGGGGCCTGCTGCAGGGCCGGCCCGCGGCCCGCGCCCCGCTCCGCCGCCGCTCCCGCTCCTTCACCGTCAGCGACTTCCAGGGCGTGCGGCCGGACCTCACCGTGTGGTGACAGCGCAGCTCAGCCCTCCTCACTCCCTGTGTCCCCGTGTGGGGCCAGCCCAGCTCAGCCCTCCTCACCCCGTGTGGTGACAGCCCAGCTCAGCCCTCCTCACCCCCTGTGTCCCCGTGTGGTGACAGCGCAGCTCAGCCCTCCTCACCCTCTGTGTCCCCGTGTGGTGACAGCCCAGCTCAGCCCTCCTCACCCCGTGTGGTGACAGCCCAGCTCAGCCCTCCTCACCCCCTGTGTCCCCGTGTGGTGACAGCGCAGCTCAGCCCTCCTCACCCCCTGTGTCCCCGTGTGGTGGCAGCCCAGCTCAGCCCTCCTCACCCCCTATGTCCCCACGTGTCCCTGTCCCAGCTCGGCCCTCCTCACCCCCAGCTCCTGCAGCAACCCGGGTGTGTTTTAAACACCAAACCCTCAGCGGGTGTAACTAAGTGGTGAAGCAAAAGAATATTCACTTATAGCAGGTCAGAGTTCTGGAGCAGAATCTCACTTTCATAGAAAAGTAGGTGATGTATTGGCAAGTCATAACATGTGGAGTTTTCATATAGGAATTTATTTTTAAACTCACAGCAAAGGCTGTGATCAGATTTGGGGGAAAATTTTGATTTTCCTGCTTAAAAATGTCTCATATAGTGCCATTTGATATTACCAAACACGTATCCTGGGCCTGTACCTTTATGCCAGAGTTTCATCACAGTTAGAATATCTGTATCCAGTCTTTGCACACATTTATGTTTTTGCAATATTTCCTACACTAAGCACAGAGAATTTGTGGTATTTTCTGATACTGTAAAACACACAGGAACATTATTAGGTATAATGCCAATTTACATTTATTTTAACTAAAGACACTGCATAATTAAATCTATAATTAAAATGTGGCCATTGCCTATTTTAAGAGGAACATAAAAATACCTATTTAATTTTTAGGTTACATTTTTCTTATTCCACATGTCTGTTGTCTATTTTTAAGTTATGATGTATATATTAGCTTTGGCATCAAATGCATGTATTCTAATTTTTTGCAACTAAATGAGCAGCAGCAAGGGGACAAGAATGCTATTTTAACACAATGTGTATTCTTAAATACCAGCTGATGTCTATGTATATAAATATAAAATATTTCTACTTTTATTTATAAATAGTCATGGTATACCAACTTGGTTACTACAGCTCTTGGACTCAGGCAGGACAACTTTCAGTTCCATTGGACATTATTATCCTCTCTATAGGTTATAGAAGAGGAAGGAGAAATCTTTTTTATTTCTTTACTATCAAAGACAGACATATTTATTTATAGTCAGCGCACACATTCATTCAGCCCTTTTCTTTCACAGTTGATGCAGACATACCTTGAAGCTTGGGGCAGTTCTTAAAATCTTAAACATTGGTTCAGTTTAGGAAGGGGCTGCAGGATTTATCTGTAACTATGACTTGTATATTACATTGTTTATTGTGGAATTTAAGCTTTCTCCCTTTCCCTCCCCTTTCTGTAAATGGTGAAGGAGAAGAGATGCAGTTCCTGAGGATGGGACTTTGTGTTCATTGTTAATTTGGGGTGTATAAGAGCTTCTGGATCTGTAGGTTTCCCTGTCTGCTTTATTAACTTCCAATAAATCAGATCTACTTAAAGAGTTGCCAGGATTTGATTTATCATCAGTACATTGATGAGGAAGATGTGAAGACTTCACCTAGGTTCAACTCTAGCTGTAATCACTGCCACAATAAACAAAATGTTACTGTGCACAGAGATCCAAACTCATGTGGAAATGCTGCTGAGCCACAGTGACCCAGGAGCCATCTCCAAGCTCTTACCTTTACCTGGGGAACAGAGAGGAAACACATTTGTAATGATTATCTATGCTGGTTTATTCATCACCCTCCCCTGATCTCAAAACACCAGGCATAAGCTCTTTCTGACAGTGAAAGCAGTCAGGACCTGCCTGAAGGGGTTTTTTCACTAAAGAACAGTCAGGCATTGGAACGAGCTGCCCAGCGAGGCGGTGGGGTCACAGTCTCTGGAAGAATTCAAGAGAAGAATTCTGGCTATGGTGCTTGGGGCTACAGCTTAGGGCTGACTGTGGCTGGGGAAGGTTAATGTTTGGATTAGATCTCCAAGGTCTCTTCCAGCCTTGGGGATTCTGTGATGAGGGAGTGTCAGGATCTGTCCTAGTGAACGGATGACCTGATGGTTCGTAGGGGTGATCTCAAGGTGCAAAAGAACCGACATGGTACAAGGGGGTTTGCAGTGATAATCAAAACAAATGCAGTTTTATTGAAATAACCACAGCAAAAATGCAATAGAGGGATTAAGGGAGAGAGAAAGAGAGAGGAGAGAGAGAGAGAGGGAGAGGGGATACAGCTACTAACGCAGAGATGAAGTCCTTTGGTCCAGTCCAGTTGAGGATCTGCCTGTTACACTGGGGAGATCTCAAAATCTCTAGCTAACTCAGAGGTTTCTATTATTGAAAATTGTGAGGGGGAGGGGAAACATATACAATAAGGAATAGATGTAACAGGTAGTCAGTTCTCAGCAGTAAACAAGAGCCATTGTTTTCTTGGTCCAGTGGTTACAACCTGCAGGCAAACATCTCGCTTTAGTCAGCTTGCCTTCCCCACACACCTCCCCCGGGCTGGGGGTTTCAGTCCCAGGCCTTGGAAGGTTCATGGGGGTTCTGTGTCTCAGTCCTTGATGGAGAGGCTCCTTACATCTCAGTCTGTCTGTCACGGTGGTTGTAAAACAGGTGAGGGTGTTCTGTGGGGGGACCACCTGAAACGCAGGAGAAGTCCAGCCAGGCCAAGAGGTGGAAGAGCTTCCAAAGCCATTGTTGCTTTGGAAGGTCACTGTGTCCCCTTCTTAGCACACAGCAAACACACCTGTGAAAACAAATAGCTTAACACTGAGCTTTCAGGTCTCAGGGCCTTTGGCGTGGGACTTTTCTCCTTCAGAGCAGAGATTCTAGACAGGGGGGGTCTTCTCTTCAGTGGTCCTCCAATGACAATCGTGAGGCAGATGAGGGAAAATTCAGACAGACTCTCACAGGGAGTCTCTAGTATCACCAACAATGTCTGAATGCCAGTTCTCAGATATTTGAAATATCCGTGTTGGAGGAAGAGATTTGAGAACAGCCCCACCTGAGTGCTGGCACTGGCCTTGTCGCCACACAGACATAAAACCTGCACACTTGCAGCTAAATTCTGCCCTAGTGTGATTATGTCCCTTCATATCAGTGGAGAATCCATATCTTGGATGGATTGCCATGAAGGAAACTAATGAAAAAAGTACATATATTTAATACTGTTCCAAAATCCAACCAAATTACAAATATAGTACCCTGAGTAAGACATTTTCATGTTAGCAAAATCCCAGCTGCTAGTCAGAAGGGTCTGCAATGATAAATAGAAGTCAGCAGGAGCCCTTTATTTCGTTTCACAGACACATGGAAAATTTTGCTTATCTCTAGGGAGGTCTTCCTCAAACCCATCAGTCTGCGGTACTGACAGTGCGAGGCCCTCTTATGAGTTTTATAATGAAAACAAACAAATAAGATATTCCTGGTAGCTGTTTATGCCTGTGTGTTTTCCAAAGATAATTATGAACCCTAGCTGAATTTACAGCAGACTAGTGCCATGGGAACTACTGTAAAAAGAAAGTCAAGATAAACTCAGAGAAAGGAAGGCAAAGGACACAAAGATAAACCAAAATGAAATAATTATCTGGCAATGGGTTTTTTTCTAGAAGAGGCTCCTTTTAGTGGGGGAAAATGAGCACTCTACTGTTTAGTGCTGTGCTGCAGTCCTGAAGATGAACTAGGTATGGATTTAGTCCAAGTCTGTGATGCTGTTTCAGGATTGATCAGACTCAGGACTGGCCCTGCACAGATGTATTTACAGCACAAATCTCTGGGTAGTACCACAGAACACAGTCAGGCTTCTCTAGTTTTGGCAGAATCCATGTCACAGTTATGTAAATCCTCTTGTTGCGCCGCCCTAATGCAAATAATACATATACTAAGCCTGTTGGGCAAGTACTACTATTGGAGATTGTTTTATATAGCAGCTTTTTATATTTATATGCGCCATTCAGGGTTCAGCAAGAGCTCCCAAAATATTCCTCCTGTCAACACGATAATTTACCCTACCCAAACACTGCACTTTACTCCTTACATAGGTGAAGTCTCAAGACACAAAGCATGAGGGAAGCAACCTGCTGACTTGTGTGGCACCAAGGTTTTTCTCCTGTTTCAACACTTCAGTCTAATTAGATGCTTTAAATTGGCTGAAGGTGCAGCTCTTGTTTAATTTGAGAGAGGCAAAAATATACAGGACCAAATATCTTCTTCCGGTTGTGGATTTGTTACTGAACAAAAGACTACTTGACTGATTTTTCAACTGACAAAAACAAGAATGAAATCTAAGATAAAGAATCTCACAGAAGACCGATTTCCATTTCCCAGTGAAGCAGGCAATCAATAACACGGCTCTTACATGCTTTTACATGCTACAACTTCTAAGTGACTCACAAACAGCAGATCATTTTCCGCTCCTTTTGTCCCCAGCTGCTCAGCCTGCCTTAAATAGCTACTGCTTTGAATGCAGTTCCCTCTCCTTTCCACACATGCTGCCAAAGACATCAGCTGAGAAAAAATTGCAGAAAATCATCTTCCTCTCATCAGTGATTCATATGCTCATGAACTTACACCTTGCTCAGTTGCCTATCCCAGATCCCACTCTGTTCTTTGCATTTTAGTCAAATGCCTCAATCAAATGCACTTTAAGCTCCTGTGTGGCTCTGTGCCAAAGAAAAAAAATTATTTCCTCTATTCACCACCTGAGCTTGCTTCCATTTTTACTTTTCTCCTTGTTAATGTGTTGCTATCTTCCATTTGTTGTGCTCTTATCACTTAGAGCTGGTCTCATAAAAGCTCCTTCTGGTTTCATGCCAAAGGAGTGAATTTCTCTCTTCTTTCCTAAATATAATCTGTTTGTGTAACCTCCTCCTAATTCTCCCTTATACTTTACAGGAAATTATCTGGACTCCCAGATTTACAATCTAGCCTCTACCATTGCCTTCTCCATGAAGGGTAACTAAAATTAACTAGCAAGAAACACAATCCTACAGCAGTCATTTAAGAGTTTTCAAGTAGGACAGAAGATAAGGCTGAAGCCTAAAAAAAGGACAACTCTGAACTCTCATTTCTTCACCATAAAATTTGCTTGTAATGAAGACACTCTTGTTTCTTCACAGCTTAGTGGCCTCATTTTAAATTTCTGCAGCTAATGCTATTCCAGTTTTTCCTGGTTGTACATTTTCTTGAGAATTGTTTCCAGTTCTTTTCCAGTGGAGGTTTATGATTGTACAGCACTTGGAAATCGTGAATATGAGGAGCCCAGAGTGCTGTAAAATATTTTGACAGCTTGTTCTTGAAATCAAAACATTTCACCTGAAGGGCATAGTTTGCTTGGGTGGAAAATAACAGCTCATTTTCTTATGCAAAACAACTCTGTGGCATACTGAAGGCACACAGAGTTATTCACATGGAAAAATATCAATTATTTTGTGAGTTGCCCATGCTGTGCAGTGCTGTAGGAAGGTGGGCATTTACATAGTATTCTGATTAAAATGTATTTGCATCCCTGTGGGACAGGCATTTCCATGTTCTTAGGATGCCAGAAGTGCTTGGATCACGTTGGCTTCTCCCAACATAAGGGATGCACCCAAGTCCCCGTGGGCTTTGACTGCTTGGGGCAGCAGAACATTAATTTTTTTTTTTTTCTGCTGAGGTTACCTTGTACAAGCCAGCACTATCCAAGCAAATCTCTGCATGGAATGGAATGGAATTAACAGAGGCCAAGTGCTGAGGAGCATTAACACACTGAACTGCTGGGAAACATCAGCACATCCATTGGAGAGTGTGAGCTTTTCTCACTTTGTGCTCAGGTGAGTACAAGGCAGCCCTTTCAGGAACATATGTAAATGGAAATGGATTACTTAGGTTAATAAAGCAATGGTTTGAATATGTAACATTGATTTAGATTGTCTATTGTGATTAGTCAGATGAACAAAAATGACAGGTCTTATGGCCCGCAACAGCCAATAGCTTTTCATAAAGGAAGATAATTCAGCAAAATTAAAGGCAGTTAAAGAACAAAAGGTGAGCATCAGTAAAAGTCAAGCTGTGAGCCTAAAAGTTCTAAGGATTTAAATATTTAATAAATGTGGGGTCCTTAGCAAGTAATATTGGCAAAGTTGGGAACATTAAATCAGATCCACATTCCCTTTTCTAGAGTTTCAGCTCTCCCATGTCATCAAAGGCAGAGGACTCAGAAATCCATAGCCCAATCCTCAGAGTTAACAGAAGGTTAAGCCACAGGCTGACAGATAAAGAGAAAATTATCCTGCAATTAGCCAAGCAAGTAAGGGTCTGAGTGACTCTGGAGGTCCAGTCCCAGCTAGGACCGAACTGCAGCTGTAACTGTGTGTATCAGCTGGGTCCAACAGTGTCAGCTGGGTCTAGATTCACAAAAGGTATAGCACTAATTCTATGTGCAATTTCCAGCCCATCTCTACTACGTATTTCATCTTGTTTGCTTGATGCTGTTTATTATGAATAGCCAACACATTTGCACAAGCAGCTGATGCATTTATATTAATACT